CGTGATACCATTCGCGTGCCATCTGCTAATCTCAACTGAATCGAGGTTGTTGGTAACGAGTCATTCACGACTAGGCCCATAGATGGCAATGGTGCAGTGTTAAGGGAGGTAGAGATAGTTGCTGGCTCATTGGCAGCAGAAGCAGTGGCTGTGCTGCTGCTACCTAAAGTTCTTCCCGTGCCTTTAAATGATGTTCGCTTTTTTGGTGGCTCCTGCACAAACAAGCAGAAGCATGAAAAAAGGACTGAATACAGAGATGGAGAAAAGAGTGTAAACACGAAAGATAATTACATACAATATAGTCTTCTTCCCGTCTCATCAAATTAACATGCACCTGGATTCTTCTATCTGCCGGCTCAAGTTCTTTGGGACACTCAGAATTTGAGATGCTCTGCATTTCAAGGCAATTTACCATGAGCATTCGACAGTTCTTGCATAACACATACAAGAAGAATGATACAAAACCAAAAACCCTTACATGGCAGCATATGCTTCAACAGGAGAATAAGCCACACCAAGAAAACATCGAATTTAACAAACCACACAAACAACATCTAACAAACTCTGATTATATTAGCGAAATCTGATGCTTAAGTAGATGCAATAATCATCCAAAACTCAATCTGGAGAAGAGAGAGAGAGATAGAAAGAGAGATAGAGAAAATAAAGAAAAACAAATAAAATAACATTCAATCCTCTAAACTGCCAACTGAATGTGAACATCACAAAATTATTCTAATTTCCCCCCCTTACTCAAACTAATTACCTTCATTAAGAATCTAAGATAGCTTCTAGGTACATTTGCTTGCACTTGTAGGGTGCAGGTAAAGATTAAGGCAGTTCTCAAGGTGAAAATTAATTATTATTAGGGTTTGAGAGTACTGTCTTACACCTGGCCAGAGTTTATTATATTAGGACTTTCAAGTTCTGACTATGAATAAAATGTTTGCCTCTAAGTTGTCAAAAAGCATAAAGGTTAGCCTTCAGTTTATAATTTTCTACCATTAAAAAAAGGAGAGACAGGGTTACCAGTCTGGCTACTCTCGCAGGTGTTACTATTTCCAACACGGAATGTCTAGTTTGAAATATAATTAGAACTATTGCTCTCATATTGAACCCTCACCTAAACTCTAATCAAGTAAGAGTGGTCTTACAACCCTCCAAGCAAAATCCATTTAAGAAAAGCCCAAGTTTCTCGGTTGTCAACCCAGGACCTCCTAGTTATTAATTAGGAACCCCTCAACCATCATCTTACTGGTGTTTTATGTTTCTATTTGAACTGCCAGCTTTTTGCATGAGCTAGAATCTAAAATACAACTTTCAACTCCATTTCTAAACAAACTTGAGAATCCAACAACAATCAAACTAGATATCACCATTTGATTCCTCTTGGCAAATATCAATCACCACCCAAACTGTTAGAAGGACAAATCACGCACGTGGACAGTTCTATTCTGCATTGAAAAAGTATTAGCTTAAGGAAAGTAAAAGGGACTGTTGAAAAGTGGTTGTTATGTACAACTACTTGATTAGCTGAAAATCTGTGTGAATGTGGAATTCAAAGAGCAGAACATTAGTTGTTCAAACAGACAGAAGACTGTCTCTATAAATCTAAATCAACAACAAGATAATTCAAAATTTTATGGTTAGGAATTCTCTCTCCTTATGTATCATGTTTGTACATCTTCAAAAAATAAATTCTGTATTGTTAGTTTTAGTGAGGAATATGTACACAAAGACATCCGCCATACGTTTGTCAAGTTTCAACAGAGAAATCTCAAGATGGGATTTCCATATTTCTTTTCTTGAACTAATAGTACAATAAGAAGTGCATGGGATTTCCAAATTTCTTTTGTTCAACTAATGATATCATACAAAATGCTTTTCTTATTATAGAAAAAATGGATATGGAAAGGGGTTTCTGAATTTCTTTTGTTGAACTAATAATACCATACAAAATGCTTTTTCTCTTATAGAAATAATGGATATGGGAAGATCTCATTTCGTAAACTTGCAAGAATAAGATAAAGCTAATTTACGGAGTCCAAGTTTGTTTTGCTAGCATAAACTAATGCTATCTTGTATGTGATAACTCTTAGTTTTACAGCAGATAAAAGAAAAACAAAAAAATATATGATGTTTGAAGTGCAAGATTCTATTTAACTTGTTAAAAAACTGAGATCCATGGACAGTCAACTTTTTTAGATTTCAGATGCAATGAAGTGGCTGTGTACTAATCAATATAAATAAGTGATTTAAGTCTAAAGTGAAGCAAGAATTCAACCAAACTAAAAAGAATTAGTGAAAAATCAAAGCTCAGTTAAAAAGAGAGAAGAAAATTTAATTGATTTTAGCACATTCTTTTGTACTGCAGCAGGCTACCATTCTTACTACCACATGGCATTCGCGACAACTCATGCCAAGGGAAAAATATAATTCATGCCTCTGTAATTAGATTTAGGTAATTAGTTTCAAGTAATGTGGAGAAATCTTTTACCTAATGGTGACGGCGACCAAACATCTTTGTGAATAGCTCATATTCAGTTTGCAAAGTTTGTTCAAATTTGGTTAAACTCTAATTCAAACCTTAATTTGAACAACAAAAAACAAACCAAACTTGAGTACATAGGTATTTAGTTTGAAGTTTGTGGATGATTTTGCTTATCTAGTAATAAATCAAATATACTTCATATATTTTATCAAATTATACTTTACTTATAATATTAAATATATTTATAAAAATTTAAGTAAATAGTATGTTAAGTGAACTCTTTATGGAATCTATTAGCTCAATCCCATAAAGTTGGAACTTATTCAAGTTTGATTTCTCTCTAAATGAACCAAAATTGAGCATAAAAGATATCTAAACTGATGTTGATTCAAATTCGAGCTTATTCCAAAAAATTAAATTCAAATACTTAAAGTATTTGACTCTATTCAGTTAGTTGCCACCCATGTTTCTAACTAAGGTTTACAGGTTTTGTCCCCTCAAAATATTAGAGAAGAGTCAAACCAAACACTCCATAAAGTACTGGGCATTGTCAGGGACCAGAATAAACTGCAGGGTCTAATTGATAGCATTTGGTTGCACACTTTTATTAGAATCACCAAAGCCTAAAAGAATTAGCCTTCGTTTTCTTCCAAAAATGTTGAGATTTAATAACAAATCAGAATAGCTAAAAGAAAAATTACCTGCAAAAATGACGCATTTGCAGGGTCATCCAACCTCCGCAATGGACCATCATCTACAGTGAATCCATTTCTCCAGAAAGTAATATTGTGCATGACATTTTCCGGCCGCTGAGGAGCAGCCGAAAGGCTCTCACCTGATAGTAGTCTTGCTGTTCCAGTGAAGCTCTTAACTTTTGAAGGCAATTGCTCAGCAGGTCTCTCAACAGCAGACTGTCTAGCTTGGTCAAAAATACGATCCACATCCTTGAAGTTGGTAGGATCTTGGACAAGCATCCCACTGCAAATAGGAGTAAAAAATCAATCATCAGATGTTGGATTTATTTCTAAAAACCAATATCTAATCTTCAAGAAAAAGCTATAGCACATTATAATACATCCCAAAATAGTGTCAAATCAATACTTCCTTTCTATGGGCGATAATACAAGTTAAACCTAGGACACAACATAAAGAAATAGATCACCAGTTATATTAAAAACCCCTAACTTCAAAAAGAATACTGAACTAAAGGACAATTTAGTGTTAGGTTTCTATTTTACAGCCATGCTATTGCATGAAATCCATCAGTTGACAACTTGAAAAGCATAACAAACTAGAGAATAATCACGATAATTTTAAATGTGATGCTCTAAACGGTAACATACATAAAGGAGTTCCTGAAAACCCCATATTTTAGATGGTAATCTATAATAAGAAGTTTCCTATAACACAATTAGTTTTAAAAAATCACAAATTACTTTATATCCTCAGTTAGGATTATCGATATGATAAAGAAATTTAAGGAAACAAAGGAAAGAGAGTTCTGTGTTTTAATTCCTTTAATATTTTCCCAATTTTCTCAGCCAATAAACTAGGGAATGGGGGAAAAGAGCAACTGAAACTAAAACAGTATTACATCGAAATGCAGAAGGTAAACCTCAGGCTAAACGAGGAATTTTATATAAAGTAAAGAGGAATCACCTTTTCTGGCCACCAGTATAATACTCCTGTGGCTCATCAGAGTCGCTATCAGAGTCTTGAGACGGAGTCCGATTCAGATCGGCAATCGTGCGGACGCCACGAGTCGGTCTGCTCCCGGAGGGCTTGGCGGGCTGTTTATCGGCGCCGCGACGCGATCGGAGCCGATATGGATCCCGAGAAGCGACCGGGGAAGGGGAACGGGACCGGGACCGAGACGGTGAAGACGGAGAGGGAGAATAGCCGGGCGAGTGCGAGGGCGACGGCGACGGCGAGTGAGAGGGAGAGGGAGCTGTTGGAGCGTGAGAGGAAGGAGGAGGAACGACAGGGTGCAACGCGGTGGCATTGTCTAAAAAGGTAGAGACGGCGGAGTCGAGGTCCCACTGGTGGCTCTCGAGGAAGAAGATAGCTTCTTCTTTCGATGATGAGGTGATCTCACAAAACGACGTGATCAGGTTGTCGTTTCCTGGGTTTCCCTGCGTCTGGTTCTCCATTCTGCTGCTACTGGCTGCTAAACGTCTCTCCGCTCGTAGATATTCTCCTTCTCCTTCTCCTTCACCTTTCGCCGCACTGCTGGTCCCCCGCTATATATATTAGGCTGGACAGATCTTTACCTGGAAACTTTTAGGTGTGTTTGGATCCTTTACTGACACGTGTCCGCGTCGCGGATAAGTACAAGTCCCTCAAAACGACATCGTCTTGGCATAGAGTTCCACATTTCCTTGGGCCAATTTTTATTTATTATTCTTAACTATTAAGACTCCAAACTATGTATTATTAACATGATGGTAAATAGTAATTTGCTTAGAAAAAATCTCTAACTTTTAAACTTTAACAGAATTTGATATGATATATTTTTGATATTTTCTTATACATAATTATAACACATTATTATGTTTAAATTATCTTTAAACAGTCTTAAATCATGCTTTTAACTATGATAATTTTTTTAAAAAAAATATAACAACTTAAATATAATACAATATAATTATGTATATTAAAAATATTATAAATTTTAAAATAAAAAATAATTAAAACAATTGATAAATAAATAAATGAATAGCTTGCATTACATGTTCAAATATATTTTATTTATATTTAATTCTTATTTTTTGATTCTTTATTATATAGAATATAATAAAAATTTAGACATTCGACACTCAAAATATGTTTCAAACAAAATTACAAATATGATAAATTTTTCATTTTATTTGTATTATAATAAATAATTGAGTATATATAAAAAAATTGATACCTATGTTTTGAACATATTATCTCAACATCTATTAAAATTAATAAAATGTTAAATGTATTGCTTTTAATATTATATATAATTTTATTAATTAAATTTTATCATATAAGTAGCCTCTATATTAATCTCATATTAAAGATAAGTTTGAAAAAAAAAGTTAATTTATAAATTATTTTTTAGAATTTCACATTTTTAATTTTAGAAAATAGTAAAAAAAAAAAATCAATCTAAAATAGAAATATTGACCAACAAAAAATTTCAAACGTACCCTTAAGTGAAAAATAAAAAATAAAAATAATTAAAGCAAACAAGAGCAAGAATAACTTGAGTTTCATTGGTCGTCACTTTCATCTAAGATCAGGACTTTGGCCTCCCCTGCTGATGAAAGCGCGAAAGAAAAACCTCTGAAACATCGGAGAACTTCAACTACTGCGACCACCAGAAGCAATTTCACCGTTTGTAAGACGAGGAACTACAACAGGAGAACCACGAACTTTCTCAAGTGCATAGCTTATCCTCAATGGCCGACCCAACAGTGCCTGCAACCAGAAATTTCCGAGTCGGAAGCAAAGTTCATGGTAGCTACGAAAATTGACAAATGGGAAATTATTGGCTCACCCTTCCGTCCATGGCGTCTTTTGCACGTACAGCGTCGTCTTCTGCGGAGAAATGAACAAAACCGAAACCTCTTGATCTACCAGTATCTTTGTTGTAGATGATCCTTACTGGAACACGAACAATCACACGATTTTCAGTAATTATATACATACATGTACAATATAGTTGAAGAAGAAGAAGAAGTAAGGAGTATTAACAATAAGCTTCTAAATATTCAGATCCTCTACTATATAATTTCTATGGCAATAAACTCGCATCGATCTAAACGATTTTTTTCAGTGAATACGAAGATATTCAGAAGTTTTTGTCATTGATGCAATTCATCGAACAGGTTGAGGGCTTGATAAGCCGTACCTTCAGTCACCTCACCAAAGGAAGAGAAAGCGTCTTTCAAGGATTTCTCGTCGAGTGACCATGACAGACCTTCAGCAATCAACCAATCACGTAAGATATCCCAATAATAAAAAAGAAAGAGAAAAAGAGAAGGAGAATGAGAGAGACCTGCAACGAAAAGTTTGTTGTTAGGGCTAGGAGACGACTCTGAGGATAGAGAGCAATAGAAACGCAGGTTTGAAGTCGGGTTATGGAGCGCTGTTAGAGCTCGTCTTGCAAGGGACTTCAGAGTGTTTTCCATGGCGGACTATACTGTGCTGGTCGGTGCTCAGCGAAAGCCAAAAAGAGGAAAAAGTAGAAGTCAACACTGGGGGTGTGCGTAAGATTTAACCCCATAAAGTCAAAATAGTCAACGCCCGTAAGAAGACCAAGAGAAAATATATATTGTGAAAAAGAAAAAAAAAACTGCGCTCCGCCTAGCTCCAGTTCTTGCCGCCATTATTAGAAGATTCAGGCTCTATAGCAGGATGTGTTCAGGTCTTCCATCTCCCTCTGTCTCTATCTCTGTGTCTTCATTTTTCTGTGTTCGATCTGTTCCTGACTTCTTTTGTAGATAGTGAATGCCGAATTATTATATGTTCAATAGTCTTCCTCTTCTAAGCATTTTCTTTTATTTGCGCCTAAATATCCTCTTATGAAACTGTCGGATCGAAGTTTCGGAGTTGTTATTGGGGGAGTTCGATGAAAGGCTCAAGGAACACTCTATTTCTCTTTTTGATTTATTTTTTAATCGGATCGCGTACTTGTTTGTAATTCGATCATCTGAAATTGGGTTTCATGAAAATGGATCATGTAATCAAATTCTCACGGACTAATATTAAAATTAGAACTAGAAACTGTATAGAAATCAAATAGAAAGTCAGCCAAACACAATCTTATTGTTTCCATAAATGGATTGGTCTAGTTTTCTGTGCGTAATTCGATTGATTTACCTGCGCCAATGCGCACGTTGTGAACACAGTTTTTTGGTGATGTGAGTGGCGATTATTTATACTGTGATATCTTTATTAGAAAATCGAAGCTTAAGACATTTTAGCACTCGGTTATGTTTCACCTACTACTGTTCATTGTGTTGAAACTTCATTCTTGTGAAACTATTTGCTTTGCAGGGGAAGACACTGAGTTCGAAGCTTCATAAGCCTCGATCTATGTGAATTGCGTGGAACCTTATGTACATGATCTTGTTAACGGGCTTTCCATGAAATCAGGAGGAAGCCTTATTGACGTCCATTTGAAAGGTTGTCTCATAGCAAGCACAAGGGAAATTTTTGTTAGTGTGACTTACTTTTTCTATGAATGCTTCGACATCTTGATACAAATACTTCCCATTGCATATATAAGAAAAGCTCATGTGTGTTTTTCTGGTTTATGGTATCATATTCCCCTGGATTTGAACATTAGGATTTAAATGTGAACGAAAAACAGCTTTAATTTTCTACTTCCAGCTTCTTCCAAATTTGTCTATATTTTTTTCAAAACCAAATTTTGGATGGATAATAACTACAGCAAACATACTAATATTGGAATTAAGTTGTGTGGCATGTTAACCAATAACCACACATGAGATAAAATAATGCTATAGATTTTCCAAAACCACACACCTAAGGTTCTCCTTTACGGCATTCCCACTGCTCCCTTTGTTTTTCTATCTTAAACGACTACTTCATTATTCATGTTGTTAAGCTCCTTCTCATCAGAATCAGCAGATTTGACAAGCTGCTGTGTTTTGTATTGATGTCTGGTTGCAAAGATGAGAAACACAAAGAAATTTACTAATCCTAGCACTGCAAGCAACCAGTAGAAATTATTCAACTTCCCTTTGTTCAAATTGCTTCTAAGCCAGTTCTTCTTGGTCACTTGGTCAACGAGGGACACCAGCAAACTGCTAACAAAGAACCCCATTGAGATAGTGCTTAGGAAAAGCCCAGTGCTCATTGATTTCATTCTCTCTGGTGCCTCTCTAATGAAGAACTCAAGCTGTCCAACATAGGCAAAAGCTTCTCCAGCACCCACAAGGAAGAACTGAGGAACAAGCCAGAAAGCACTTATTTGGGTTTTTGACTGAACCGCCATGTCCCTCCTTTCTTTCTCAATTATAGCCGCAACCACCATTGCAACTATTGATAAGGTCAGCCCAATCCCAATCCTTTGAAGGCTTGTGATTCCTTGAACAGTGTGGGTAACTTTTCGAGCCAATGGGATGAATACTCTTTCATTTAGAGATGTGAATAGGAGAATTGTAATGATTAGAAAGGCAGACAGAGAACCTGGAGGGACAGTAAAGGACCCAATTTTTCTGTTCATGAATGTTGCTTGCTCAACAGTGAAAGTTGTCATTTGAGAGTATATGGTCCAGAAAAGAATGCATGTGGACCAGATGGGTATGAGCTTTAGTACCATTTTTACCTCTCAACTTGAGTCACAG